AACAAACAAACAAGCACATACAAATTTATATTATTAGTATACCTCTACATTTCTTAAGTCATCTGAGATTTGTGTGACAAGTGAGTTTACAAAGTCAATGTGTCATAGATTTTTTTTATACTATGGTATTAATATTAAGGTATGCAAAGAGGTTGACAGCAGTCTAAGGAGATAAAACCACGAATAAAATATTTTCAGTTTACTTGAATTCGTATTTTTTATATGTATATCAAAAAAACTAGCTAAATGCACATAGCTAAAAAATAATATTAGTCCTTTTCATTTTAGACCGTCAAGGCCAAATTCACTATGATAGTTTGCTGTTTTTTTATGGCATAAGCCGGTAAACGAGCAGACGGATCACCTGATGGTAAGCAATCTGCGCCGCCCATGGACACCTGTAACACCAGAAGTGCTAGAAGTGCGTTACCGGTCTTTTGGGAATTGGTAATTTGAGGATTGTCAGGGATTGGGGGGGCTGAGGGAGGGGTAATTGGGCCTCCGGTAACCTCACTTACACAGCGAAACACTCCTTTAGGTAACCGAGGGCTGGGCTCGCTGTCATTGCAGCGGAAAGTCCCCTCTTTAAAAGTGGCTTTAGAGAGGCCATCAATGCGAGGACCGCCCGGAGAACACGGTGGAGCATATCGTGGCGGTGTACCTTGCATGGGCTGAGCACCGCCGTGTTCTCAGGGATGTAGGAAACGGTGACCTCTCGCGTTCGGCTCTGGTTCAGGCCATGGAGCGAGGGGGATTGGGATGCAGTCGCATCATTCTGCGAAGCAGTTATGCTTGCCAAGGAGAAAGCGGAGCGCGTGAGGGCACGAACTTCCTCACGCCCCAGCCGTCGCGGGAGACACTCTGGGCGTCGGAGATCGGCCGACCACAGGCCACCGTAAGTGCGGGTCTGTAGACGAAGAGCAAGGGTAGCTCGCCACCCGACCAGAACCAGTCCCGTGCATACTGCGCGCGCCTTACAGAGCCATGACACCATCATAGATGGAGCCCAGTAGGGCTGATGCTCGATACGGTGCCGTGGGAGGCCTAACGAGTTGACGGGGCTCCGGCTCGACGAGCAGGAGTAGGAACGGAGTGGATTTTAGTCAGTAAGAATCTGTCACTCCCTCTCACCTAACCCAAGGCGGGAGAAGTGATTGGATGATTTTCCGACCTCAAAAAAAATCTCCTTTAGGTAATGACAACCCGATGTGTAAAAAACCACCAAAAAAACTCCTTATATTATTGGTATTGATTACGCTGTGGAAATTATGGACAATAGAGCCAAAGGGGTGTATTAAGTCTTATAGAGGACATTAATATCAACATTAAAGTCCATGTATCATATGTAACTAACCTAATATCAGAATACCTATTTTTTCATTTAAATGTTTGCGATAGTAACGCATGTCGTACCGGTACATATCAGGTCACATTATAGGAGAGAGGAAATCCCAAAATGACGGAAACTATGCGCTAAAAAACCAGGACTAAGGACGTTGAAATAAAGAGGGGCTCTTACCTTTTAAACCATTGAACCTATTTGGTGAAATTCGGTACAGCGATAGTTTGAGACCCGGGAAAGGACATCTAAAAGTTTTTAACCCGAAAAACCCACGAAACCGGGAACTGTGCTGTTAAAATCACTATATCTATTTGATTGAAATGCGATACAACATTGATTTGCAAACATAGAATAGTGAAACCTCACGAGACGGGCACTGTACGGGTAAAACCTCTATGGGATTGTTTATTTTAGAAACCACGAAAATAAATTCATTTCTCAATAAATATAACCTAGGTACTGAATCGATTGTGATGATATTTGTTCCAGTTGTACAGCCGTAGAATATACCTTGACAAAGACTAATTTAAAAACCCAATTTATACAGAAGTCGCTATTTCACGCGGACGAAGTCGCGGGTAACAGCTAGTTATATATAAACATGTACTTTGATCTTTAAACAAAAATCGCAAAGTCATTATGAGTAGTCGTAGTCATCACTGTTATCTTAGTCGGTTATCAAATGCGTAACTAGCATGATCGTCTTAAAATGATAAATAATGTTATGTAATAAACTGGCTTTTCCCCGCGACTTCTCTCGTGGAAGTTAGTCGAAACAGCCCACCAAGGTTTGGGCTTGAATACGGTATTTTCCTAAATTTTATTATATTGTCCTTAATTTTATTATTATGTCCGTCTGGTAGATTATTTTAAAACATTAGACACGTATTTTTTTCTTTTCTCACAAAATTCAATACTTTCGACGATATATTAATTTGAAATATCGTGTGACGTCGCAGCGTGCTACATTTTACAGCACGTTGTGACGGTACGACCTCCCACTCCTAAACTTAACGCCATTTTATCTAAGTATTGTAGTTTTAAGAAGAAATTAAAAAATACGTGTCTAATATTTTTTCATTATCTAACTGACGGATTAATTAGATTTATAATTTTCTTACCCCAGCAACTATCCAATTCCCAGTACATGTTACATTTGGGTTGTATGATTTTTTCAAAAATCTATCTGCTACTACTACTTCTCATAAACAGCTGAAGAGTCTGTCTGTCTGTCTGTTTGTTTGAACGCGCTAATCTTAGGAACTACTGGTCCGATTTGAAAAATATTTTTTGAGTTGGATAGCCCATTTATCGAGGAATGCCTATAGCAGGCTATACAAGAGAGCGGGTAAGACCGCATGGAAGGAGCTAGGTACTAAATAATAAGTACGATGGCAACACGGTGACAAAACGTCATGGGCATTATTACTCGTTTATTTTATTTTTTGTATTGTTATTTGATTTTGTTGTTTTTCGCTGCTCTTTTTTAATGTTATTATATCGAGGGGTAACGGGCTATTTGGTTTAAGCGACATTTTGGGCGATATTAAGTTATATATATATTCGGAATCAGCGAATTTTTCTCCGTCGAATATATAACTCAATATCGCCCAAAATGTCGCTTAAACCAAATAGCCCGTTACCCCTCGATATGTTTTTAATGTTTTTTAATTTTCTATTTCAATTTTATTTTATGTTTGTATATTTGGTGAGCCATGCTTAATGACGAATAATTTATTTTTCTTTACGAAGTCTACAATTTTGCCTGGTATATGGTAAAAGAGTCAGACCCATGACAGACGCTTGCAAATTTTAAAGCAATGCTTTCTTAACCAACTGCTACATTTCCAAAGAAACCAGTAGGCTAAATCAGTTCTTTTGTAACCCATAGTTTTATCAGTCTGCAATTGGGATGAAGACAGGGTATGAAAATTAAAAATCTAATTAGTCCGTAATAAAATAACTTACGGTATAATATTATTACTATATTTTGTCGTAAAATAAACTTACTTATATAAAACGAATCAAAGTTTAGGAGTGGCGGCTAAAATGTCATTTCTACGTATAAAATGTACATAGAAGTGACGTCACACGAGATTTCAAATCAATATATCGTCGAAAGTATTCGTTTCTGTAAGAAAATAAAAAATACGCATCTAATGATTTAAAATAATCTTCAAGACGGACATTAAAATAAAAATTAGGCATCTACCCTATTGTATCACTCAGTCACCAGTACCGGGAAAGTGTTATGTCTGTAACTGAACATGATTGATTGATTCGAATTTTTTACATCCTACATTATTCGTCATACTGCGATGGACTATTCTGATTTTATCGAAACAGTGCACACATCAAATAAGATCAGCATCAGAGACAGTCCAGTACTGGACAATATCCTGCTTTAAATAAGAGGGTTTCCCATAACATTACGGCGCAGCTGCTCTTACCAAGTGATTTGAAGATCATAGTAGTTGAAAAAAATCAGTTTCTGCTGCTACTCAATCTTTGCCAAATGTGTAGTCCCTTAGAGCTCTTACACACGAGCGACATGTTGCTATCAGCAGTGGTAACTGCAGCCGTCGACGACATGCGTTGACGCGTCAACGGCAGCCGTCGTGGTTCAACTTCGAAGGACGCTACAACTGCAAGTGTCGCTATAGGTCGACTGCTGGCGTCGACGCGTCAGCGATTGCCGCCAATACGTCTCGACGGTAGCAATTGCTTCTGCCGTTGGCAACATGACGCTCGTGTGTATAACTCTAAGTCGACTCTTACGTCACTTGAAGTGTAGGAATGGTGACGAACGTATAAACGCTGTAAATTAAGTAAAAAAAAAATAAGTAAGTAACAATCCTCAATTTCCTAATTCCCAAAAAGCCGGTAACGCCATTTTTATGGAATAGTAGGCAAACGAGCAGACGAAATACATGATGGTAAGCGATCAGCGCCGTCCATGTACACCCGCAACACCTGAGCAAAAACAGATGCGCTGCCGGTCTTTTAAAAAGGATTACGCTCTTTTCTTGTAGGTTTGGACTTGTAACACCTGAGGTGTTCAGATGTCTATGGGCGACGACGATTGCTTACCATCAGGTGATCCGTCTGCTCGTTTACCGGCTTATCCCATAAAAAGTAGTCGAGAGGAATATTATCTAAATACAGGTCTATCAAAGGTATGCTTATCAAGCAATGTTAAGTCCATAAGATAATAATTTATTGGTCTAAGCGATCTAATCAGGTAGTACTAAAGATATATTTTGGTAATAAATGCAGTTTGACAAAACATGATTGCACAGATACGTCTAAACATTGTAAGGAAAATAATACATTATTTTACTTATTTAGTATATAAAGCTAGGAGTTTGTTTATTTGTTTTAACGTGCTAATCTTCGCAACTCCTGGTCAAATTTGATTTTTATTGTGTTTTTATAATAACTATCGTGAGACATACTAAATTAACTAAAATCGCAAACTCAAGTGAAAATACTGAGAAATGTTCTAGTAGTTTCGAACCACAGAAGGGTTCTTCCTCGTGAGCAGTGTGCGCGGTTGCGTCAATGTCGCGCAGCTCACTGGCTGGCGTTGGCGCTCGCATCGGTGTTGCTACTTATGATGGGAGTCCAACGCGCCCTCTGCCGGACACCACGAGCGTTTGCTTCCAACTCCGGCGGCACGTTGGACGATGTTGAAGCGCTCGCGCTCATGAGGAAGAACCCCTCTGTGCACTGTGGTTCGAAACTAGTAGAACTTTTCTCAGTATATTCACGCGAGTAACCCGCAATTTTAGTATTCGATAGTTCATTTATTAAGGAAGGGCGTATAAGATATAACGCTACCATCAATAGGAGCCGATCAGTGCGGATGAAACCGCAACAATTGATTTATCTGGTTATGAATTTACATTCCAGAAAGTAACAGTGTGTATCGTGTTTAGTTTTCAGTAGTAAATAATAATGGCTTCTCGAGCTCACGATGCAGTACACTGGTATTTGGAGGAGATTGGAGCTCGCGTGGTGGCGAAGACCGGGATCCCTTCAGACAGATATCATCTTGGGAAGCTTATGCTGCATAGCCTGCAAGATGATCCCGACTTTATTTTACAGGTAAGTACCTTATATATTTTATTTTAATAAAACCCTACTGTAATATAGGTGAATGGTTAAATAACCTAACAAAAATAGTTGTTTCTCAACATCACGGTATTATATATTTCAATTTTCACCAGATTTCAGATTCTGTGTTATATAACTAGGATTTGAAGAATTAATTTTAAACACTTAATCACATTTAAACAACGCACTCTCGTATCTCTTTGGTCGATAGGAAAATGACTTAAAACTTCAATATTAAATATCCTGCTGTTAATATTTATTTACCACAAGACTGCTAATCTAAAATCAAATACATATTACCTACCCCAGATCGATGGAGCGACAGGTGAATCAGAAACCTTCGGCGCAGCTTTAGACAGGAGCATCCGATGCGCTGTCTCTCTCACCAACATGGGACTGAAGACGGACGACGTCATGGTGTTGATGGGACCAAACCACTTAGACTTCTGTGTACCACATAATGCGGCTTTATACCTTGGAATCATGGTGGCATCAATTGACGCTACTTTGGGAGTCAGTGAGTTCAATTCAATAAAATTATAGGAGAATAGTTAAGGACAAGTCGTGGTTTTTTTTTAATGATATTCTTTTATTTTATGATTAATCTGAAGATTCATAAAATCATATGTAATGTTGACACTATGAATTAGATTCAGTTCTCGATAGATCTGCTGATCAAAATTCTCGCTCATTTAGTAAAACATCAAAATACTATTATTATTTTGTCATGATTTAATATTCATTGAAATCTTTGTCATAAAAGTACTAATTAATCTTAATTTTAATGTCCCAATTTTAGATGAACTAACACAAGTATTTAAAACCAATCAACCGAAGATAATTTTCTGTCAAAGCGAGAAGACTGGAGATGTTGATGCAGCACTAAAAATGTTAAACATGGATACCAAAGTTGTGACATTTAATGAAGATAGTCACCATACAACACTCGCACATCTTCTGAAGGTTGATGAGGAAGCAGTTAAGAACTTCAAGTAAGAGTATAAACTTAAACGTCAAGTACCGTCATCATAGACACAATTATAGAACAATAGGTTGCGGTCACCGGTGACCGCTTGGTGTTTGACAGTTTAAATAAATCTTTGTCACCTATTGAGTTTAAACTCTGAGACTGCCTCGATAGTCGAGTGCTCGCAAGTTTGACTGCCGGGCAAGGGGTCTCGGGTTCGATTCCCGGGTCGGGCAAAGTATTACAGATTTTAAAAAATAAAAAATCTCAGTAGGAGCCTAAAGTCTGGAAATGTGTCCGGTATATGGCAATAGGCTCACCCCCTATTACATGGGACTCATAACATAAATAGTGAAAAGTGGGCGTTACTTTTGTGTGCACTTCTGCCTACCCCTTCGAGGATAAAAGGCGTGATGTTATGTTATGTGATGAATTTAAAATGTGTAAGAATCCGTTTCAATTAGGTATTCGACTAGACTTTTGAGGCTATTTCATACAAAGTTTTTGACAGCAGGCTCATTCACTAAGAATTACAATGACTATTCATAACATTATTAATAGAAAATGAATTATCTGTATAGACATGAGACAGTTCTTTCTAAGATTCTTCAGATACCACTGACAAACGGTGAAGGAAAACATCGTGAGGAAACCTAAACTTATAACTTCTACTACTATTACAAATGAGCAATCGTGGTGATTAATGCTCAAACCTTCTCCGTGAGAGAAGAGACTTTGCTCATTAGTGGGCACTTGTAGGCTATTGATGATGACAATGATGAAAAAAATGAGAAAAAGTACCCTTTACTGATCCAGTGACAAAATAATTAAAATGCGTTTTTATTTTGCTCAGGCCAGCAGACTTCGATCCAGCAGATACCGTAGCATATTTGACCTCAACCAGCGGCACCACTGGGGTACCAAAAACTGCTATGCTGACTCATAAGAACCTGAACTTAGGAACTCGATATCTCTGGTAAGTTGACTCCAGCATCAATAATAGGGTAGTTTCCAAGGTAAGAAAATTCAAAATCTAATTAGTCCGTCAGTTAGATAATTAAAAAATATTAGACACGTATTTTTTTTTTCTTGTATAATACAATACTTACATAAAATGGCGCTAAGTTTAGGAGTGGGAGGTAGTTACGTCATAACGTGGTACATTTTGTACCACGCGAAATTTCAAATCAATACATCGTCAAAAGCAATTAATTAATATTGTGAGAAAAGAAAAAATACGTGTCTAATGTTTTTTAAAATAATGTACCAGACGGATATTAAAATAAAATTTAGGAAACTACCCTATTCTTCTAAAGTCTGCCGATTCGGAGTCGCGGAGAACCTAACGGGTAACCGGGGCTCCGGCTCGACGTGCAGGAGAAGGAACGGGGTGGTTTTTAGTCAGTAAGAGTCTGACACTCCCTCCCGCCTCACCCAGGCGGGGGCAGTCATTCGATGATTTTCCCCCCTTAAAAAAAAAAAAAAATTCTTCTAAAGTCTATAAAAATGCAATAACTGGTTACGTTGTCGCGGAGAACCTAACGGGTAACCGGGGCTCCGACTCGACGTGCAGGGGAAGGAACGGGGTGGCTTTTAGTCAGTAAGAGTCTGACACTCCCTCCCGCCTCACCCAGGCGGGAGCAGACATTTGATGATTTTCCCCCCTTAAAAAAAAAACTGGTTACGTTATTAAAATCTTTCACAGAAGTAATATTTCTTCTAGGATAGAATTCTCCAAGTTTCCAACACCAACCAGAATGGCGATAGTGACATCGCCAGCTCAGTGGCTCTCAGCTGGGTTCCACTACCTCTTCTCTGCGATCTTAAAGTATACTCGACTGCAGACATCAGCAACTGTCACTCCAGAACATTTTGGTGAACTCGTCAATAAATATAAGGTATCCAATTATTATGTAATTTAAACTGCCTCATTCAAGTGCAACTGCCGGGCAAGGGGTCTCGGGTTCAATTCCCGGGTCGGGCAAAGTATTACCGGGTTTGTTAAAACCTCAGTAGTAGCTCGGAGTCTGGAAATGTGCCCGGAATATGGCAATAGGCTCACCCCCTGTTACATGGGACCCATAACATAAATAGTAAAAAGTGGGTATTACATTGTACAGTGGCATTAAGTGCCGTATTGTGTACCTCTGCCTACCTCTTCGGGGATAAAAGGCGTGATGTTATGTATGTAATTTAAATGAAATTCTTACAGACTACTCTTAAAATATATTGTGATGTACCAAAGCGAACTTATTCTTAAATTAGTCCTTTGTAATGAACAAAATCAAAAGCGTAATGAATGTCCATCTGCGAATGTAAACGAACTAAATACATTCATCACACAACACAAGACATTTGACAAATGAATCAATGAATGCTTAATGTTGTGCCATGATACCTATAAATGGAAGACTGATGCAAAATATTGTGTATTTTAGATGATTTGGACATTATGGGATTAGGTTTATTTTTAACTAGCTTTTACCCGCGGCTTCGCTCGCGTCACAAAAGGATAAAAAGTAGCCTATAGATGTGACATATACCGTGCATATACCAATACACACAGCGCCATCTATACCAATACTTTTGTTTTCCCTCGGGAATATCAATTTTTCCGGGATAAAAAGTACCCTATTATTTAATCCATACTTCTAACTTTACTTCTGTAAAAATTCAAAGCAATCGGTTAAGTAGTTACGGCGTGAAAGCGGAACAAACAAACAAACTCACTTTCTGATTTATAATATTAGTAAGGATATTCAATATTTTTTCTCCACGGACTCTTCGTCCGTGTCCTTGTCATACAATTTTATCGCATTAAGTTACACTTTAAAAGGTACGATTTTGTTTAGTTTAATCACTATTCCGGTTGGTGAAGAAGAGAGAATAGAGTAAAATGAGAGACCATGAAATAAAGAGACACAAATATAATAATAAGACCTATGCTTTGGTTATCCTACAGCCCACCTACATTCTCATCAGTCCTACACTTATGACGACAATGATGTCAAAATCGAAATGTGACTTCAACTGCTTTGAAAACATACATTTTGGTGGCAGTGCTGTTACGCAGGAGCTCCTAGCAGAAGTAAAGGCAAGTATATTTTCTTCTCTTTAAATAAATCAGATCCCACCAAAAACATTCTATAAAAAAACTAGCCAAGACTCGATGGAGCTACTAGTTTATCTATACAAAATAATTAGGGTCATGCCAAGATCTGGAGTAACTATTACTCTTCGATTATCCTAGTTTTTATAGTTTTCCCATTTTGTGGCCATGAAATCCAAACTCTGTACTAAATTTCAGCTCGCTGAGGTTATGGGAAGTACTAGTTCTATTTTGATGATCATGAGTGAATGAGTGAGTGTCATAAATGCGAAACTTTGCTTTCGCTTAACTTCGGAACTAAATGACCTGTAGACTTCAAATTTTGGATTTTAAGTATGTGATTATAGCTTACTGGATGACGAAAGTTTTTCGTTCTGATCTTATTCAGAGGTTCTCAAATAGGGGCCGGAAAATGGTTCGGCAATAATGGCACTGCCGTACCTCCACATATCGGCAATGCTAGTGTGAGGCTCAAAGACACTATTCCTTTTTGCTTGACTTTGACTTTAGTTCCGTAAAGAAAAAACTTAAAAGAAAAAGGGTCCTAGACATGATATCAGAAAGTACTAGATCAACGAACATTTTTACTATATTCTTAACACATTAAACCCCAAGAGGTCACCGGTGAAAGAAGTTAGCGGAGGATTTGTCTATAACAGATTTTTGTTGGCAATCAAAACCTTCAATTGATCCAACATTGACGAACTATCTTTGCAGAAATTAACAAAAGCAGAGACATACATTTTGTATGGAATGAGTGAAGTGAGTGGTCCAGCTGTGCAGCAGGATGAGTCAACACCGCCAGGGTCTTATGGAAGACCAATTGGAGGGTTGGAACTAAAAGTAAGTTTGAATTCCTAAAATTTCATTGAGTCAAGTAACTTGAGTAGCTTATTTATTGCTCTGCTCAAATAGAAGAAGAATAGTATTCGGATAGAAGTTGTCAATAGTGATGAGTCAAAGGATTGTAATAGTATTTTATGCAAAGAGAAAGTTGATAGATGGCGCTCAGTAGGACTAATACCAATTCGATTTGAAGCAGGAGTAGAAACGGGGTGGTATTTATTTATTTATTTATTTGGTATTATCAATGACACTCCTTCTCGCCATACCCAAGGTGGTAGGAATCATTGGATGCTTTGGAGAAAAACATAGAAATAGATTTAATCGTGTTTTGTTATTTCATGGGAATTAAAAACACCACTTTAGAATAACATTCTCATTTTGGTCTATTTCAGTTAGTGGATCCAAAAACCAATGAAATCATCACTGAACCTCATGTTCCTGGAGAATTATGGTTCAGAGGTCCGAGTGTATTCAAAGTAAGTGACATAAATCTACGCTAATGGGTAGATAACAAATTTTTATTATACTGTCCGTCTCTTAGATTACTTTAAGACATTAGACATGTGTTTTTTTTTTCTTATAAAAACAAATACTTTCAACTATAATATACTGATTTCAAATATCTCATGACGTCACTTCTAGAGACGTTTAAACGTAGAAATGACGTTTTAGCTCTCTCCTAATCTTTCAATCATTTTAAATAA